GGACAGCAAAAATCAGGTGAGACAAAATCCGGATGATGAATTCCGGAGTGTTGAAAATCTGGACGGTATGAAAATATGGATGAACAAAAATCGGGACGTACAAAAATCAGGAATGCGACAGAAATTCAAATCAAAACATAATTTCAAAACACTCTCGATTCGATTAAAACGAGAGCACATTAAATAATCGATCTTGAATGTTTATCCTGAAAATTGTTCGACTTTTTTCGAAAAACTCGCTCCGTCCGCTGTCCCACCATCATTTCTCGCGAGCGCCAAAATCAAGTCGAACAATTTTCAGGATAAACAAAAATCAGGATGAACAAAAATCAGGAATGCGACAGAATCAGGAATTTCATCCGGATTTTTGTTCGTCCTGATTTTATTCAATTCTGATTTTTGTTCATCCTGATTTTAATACTATCCGGATTTTATCATCCTGATTATGTCTCACCGGATTTTTGTCGTCTGTAAAAAGTTACAGAGCCCAAAACACCGGATCGAATTCAGGCAGTCTTCAAGCCTGCTCTTCATCTGCCTCTTCATCTGCCCCTTCGTCTGCCTCGCAAAGCCAAAACGGGGCAAGTCAGTCACAAGGAGTGGCTGCCTCCGCACTCGCCGTGGTTCGAGTCCAGCAAGGACCAAGACTGCATGTGCTGGGTAATGTGGCTAGTGGCGGAGCACCACAAATACTGCGTATGCTGGGTAATTTGGGTGCTGACGCAGCACTACAAATTGGTTTAGCTCCTGCTGCTATTGCCGCTCCTCCTCCTGCTGCCGCAGGTGTGCCACCACCACGAATTCAGGGCCAAGCACAAGCCAGCCAATCATCAACCACAACAACAACAACAGCCTCAGGGTTTAAGTGTCCGTGCTTTGGCCGCGACGTTGGCAGGACTGCTTGGTGGTGTAGTTCTTCCGCCACCACTCCACACCAACGATTTGATCTAGTGTCATCAATTCCAAAAATTTGGTTTTAAAAAAAACGCGCTTTTTATGGCCAAATGTACTAGAGTTTTTCATGTGGAATTTGACAATGAATAATTGACAATAAGTCAACGTCAAATAGCACATGGAAACATCTCAATCTTTTGGCAACAACATCTTCTTAAAATGGTTTATGGTTTTGCTCAATTTCAACGCGTAATTGCAGGTTGGTATCCAAACAGAGGAACAATTGATGCGGTTGGAATGAACATGAGACTTTCGTCGCTCAATACACAGATACGAAACAAAAATAAAGCAATCCATTAAAATGGAACATCCGTTTGGATAGATTTTTTGTCTACATGGGAAGTTTGTATGAAAACCTCGGAGCGCCGGTGTTTTACTCGTATTGTTATACACATCAACAAAGCAGTCTGCTTCACCGTAGAAAAGAAGTGCGCAGTAACGAACAAGAACGTTCAGGTTTCGGCAACGTTGCATTATAGCGATTATGAATGAACGTAATGAGAAATGTAACGAGAAATTACGTTCATTCATAATCACTAGTGAAGCCACGTTGCCAAAACATGTACGTTCTTGTTTCCTTACTGCGCACTACTTTTCTACGGTGAAACAGACTGCTTTGTTGACGTGTATAACAATACGGGTAAAAATTGCACGTAAGTGTGAGAGAAATAGCATGAGTTTTCGGCGTCCGAGGGAATAGGATCTTCCGAGCTGGTTGAATGATCGCTCAATGGGAAGCCATCAATTTGTAGGTAAACATAATGGTTTGGGAGCGATGGACACATTATTTTTGCCGAATTCCGCTCGGAAATCCGAGTTTTGGCCATGTCTAGATTTTACCATATAAACTAATGTAATTACACCGGCGCTCCGAGGTTTTCATACAAACTTCCCATGTAGACGATCCGAAACAGGCAAAAATCGAAAAAAAGGTTGAAAATTTTTTTTTGATTCTGGAACAGTATTTCATGTGGCCAATCCATTGGTGTTATCACCACATCGAAATTCGCATTCCTTATAAATAAAATTATCATGCATTTCTAGAACCGAAACACCATCCAACAAGTATTTACAAACGAAACACTAGCGCAAACGTTTTTCAAAGTGAATCATGGAAAACAAATTTTATTGAAATGTAACACGTGGTGTTTCACTTCGAAAAATTCTCTGCCGATGTTACACTTTAAAAAAATCATTCGTTTTTGTATCATAACGATATATTGTCAGAATATGTCTTGTTTTCAATCTCACTCATTCAAATAATGAAGATGTAGTTTTTCACACAAAACAGAACGTTAACGACAACACTATTCAAAGTCAAAGATGGAAGTAAATATTGCAATTAAGCGTCGTCAGCGACAAACCATCGATGGAACGGCAAAAACGCCCACTTGTATGCGAGGAGACAGCAAAAAGAGAAGAAAAACGATGCGATTTACGGCAGTTCCACTGTATGCATGTGCGCACTTTACATTGTGATTGTGTCTTATAAAGTGTTTCGCCAATGATGATGTTTCGCATGTTCTATCGTAAATCTACCGCAAATTGGCATTTAGATCGTCACCGAGAATCAAAACATTACATCCGCACTCGCATGATTCACACTAAATTTGTTCACATAATCCAATCGACGTGTCATACATTCGCTAAATGCTGCGTTTTTGCACAATTACATCTATGGGTGAGATTGAGAGTAGTGTATGTTTCATTGACTTTGTTACGATAGAGAAGAGTAAGTTCTACGTCATAGCACTGGCGATGAGATGTGAAGAGGAGCGAGTTTTTCGTTTGTATACAAAAATGAAGCGATGATCATCATTTTTAAAACGAGAGAGCAAAACGTTTGCATCGTTCTTACCACAAAAATGTTTTTCATCGAAAAATATGTATTTCTGGTCAATGGTGTGATAGAACCAAGGCGACCACGGACGCTAATACCAAGAATATTCAGTAAATAAATCGTATTTGAATTGAAATCTTACCAATCAAATCATATTTGGTTTAATCAATATTTACTTGTCACTGGAAATCTCTGAAATATAAAGAACAATGCCGGATTGCATACCACCGCCAGTCAAACCAGTAGCGAAACGAGCCAATAATATGTGATGAATCGAATCACCAAAATAAACTAAGAGCCAAAAAGCGTTTGCTGGATAAGCTACGATTGTCATTGTATAAATTTACCAATTAGAGCCGCATACAATTGATTTTTCACTCTCGATAAAACTGAATCATTGTCTAATTGAACCCGTGAGCATAAAAACAACGTATTGACTCTTCGCCGATGAATACGAAACGCAAAAAAATCGCCGAACAAAGTGAAACACCAATCTGTTATTGGATCAATATGAAACATGAAATCGTTGGCCACTATTTTATTTACGTTGCACTTTGTTTCGAAGCGCGGCAAGTGTTTCATTTTGTTCCAGTAACAGAACGTTGTATCACTTTGTTCGGCGACGCGCTCAATGTACTGTTTTGAAAAAATATGCATGATTTGATATAGTTTTGTGCGAGTGCAACATAAATTCTGTTCGCTTGAAAGTGAATCGTGAAATATCGGCTGACTATAGAAATTGTGTTTCACTTTAATTGAAACAAAAATGTTTGATACACTTTTGAGTCCATTGGTATGATGATTCATTTTAATGGTGGTTTTGGTCGTGATTTGTCTATGAAGTGAAAATTAACTGATAAGGAGCGCGAATTTCGATGTGCCGATAACACCAATAGAGCAGAAAAAAATACTATATGAAAATCGAAAAAAAATTTAAACTTTTTTTTTCGACTGTTGCCTATTTCGGATCGTCTACATGGGAAGTTTGTATGAAATCCTCGGAACGCGGGTTCACGCCGCTGTGAATACATTGGTTTATATAGTGAAATCTATACATGGCCAAAACACAGACGCACAACACCCATTCTATTTCGCTCACACTTACGTGCAATTTTTACCCGTATAACAAAGTAGTCTGCTTTACTGTTAAAAAGATGTGCGCAGTAAAGAAACAAGAACGTACATGTTTCAGCAACGTTAAAGTGCACGTAAGTGTGAGCGAAATAGAATGGGTGTTGTGTTAAAATGAATCATCATACCAATGGACTCAAAACTATATCAAATCATGCATATTTTTCCAAAACAGTACATTGAGCGCGTCGCCGAACAAAGTGATACAACGTTCTGTTACTGGAACAAAATGAAACACTTGCCGCGCTTCGAAACAAAGCGCAACGTGAATAAAATAGTAGCCAACGATTTCATGCTTCATATTGATCCAATAACAGATTGGTGTTTCACTTTGTTCGGCGATTTTTTTGCGTTTCGTATTCATCGGCGAAGAGTCAATACGTTGTTTTTATGCTCACGGGTTCAATTGTTGTACCATGATTATGATGATGAACTAGACCCACTTAAATGAACGTACAACCGTTCTCGACATGAGCACTGCAAAAAATACGCTAATCTGCTTCAGTACATTTATTAAAATGATACACAAACACTCACATCCAATCAATTTCCATTCAAATAAAAAAACGATCTTCATTTGCAGATTGTTTTCGATTTGTTGAAAATCCATGTCATAAAATGACATAGACACTTTGATTTTTATTGACATTCACACATTGGCTAAACATACGATTAAGACTCAATATTTGTAATATAAATAATTTAATCTCTTAATGATTTAGGTATGCAAGTAAAATGTCGAAAGCATGATATTTTGCAACGATTAACACACCGTGTTATCATTGCATTGAACAATCGATGAATTTTAAACAGTGTCCACTTTCAACTTTGGGCTGATTTCGTTTCGTATTAAAAAATATTCTAGTAAAACAGAATAAAATCCTCCAACTGTCTGAGTTAAAATGTCAACTTGGAATCTTAGTTTTAAGACAAATAAAAACTATAGAATTATATAATGGAAAAACAAAGTGACATATAATAACTGATTTTAAGAACGAAAAATGGAATGTTTTCACAGAGATATCTTGAGAAAATGCACAATAAAAGGTGTCTGTTAAGTTTTGTTCTGGTTCTTTTTCAGCCCAATGAAAAAATTAAGAAAAAAAACCTTTTGAAAATGATTCAGTTTTGGTATTATTTCATCACGCAGCAATAAAAATGGATCGATGTTTGTTTGAACAATTGGTTAATCATCCTACTTAGATTATAGCTAAATTTCAGATCTACATCTATTTGGCTAAGGCTTGTATGATTTCTTCGTATGTCTTCCCTTTTGTTTCTGGCAATACCATCAAATAAAACAATGCACCAAGCATGCAACACGTTGCTAAGAAAAACATGCACATCGAAGTGCCGAACGTTGCAGTCAAAATTGGGAAGAATGAAACAAGAGCAAACGCCAAACCCCACAAACATTCCAATGCCAAGAGTATGATTATGTTTTTGATCTGGAAAAATTAGAAGATGCAATTAGAAAAATGAACAAAAATTTAAATTTTGCAACGATTGTCAGTTCGATGATTGAATTCGGTCTTTGAGAAACTGTTTAAAACTATTTTCGGATCAAAGTCGGATTGAAAGAAAAAAATGATTAAAAAACATACCTTCTTGGGTATAAGTTCGCTCAAAATGACAAAAGTAAGGGGAAGCATGCCAATAGAAGAAAACAAAATGATCATTGAGAATGCAGCAATTGGAATCCATCGGTGTTCTGTCAAAGACTGCTTGAACGAATCATAAAGACCCATGGAAATCAAGGAAAGGCTCGTTGCGAATGCTGATGCGGTCATCAACAATTTGCGACCGGCACGATCGACCAGTACCATAGCAAGGAAATTTGCAATCATCATTACAAATGCAACGATAATAGATGATGTCGATTCGGTTAATGTCGAACCAGCTTCGGCAAAGATTTTGTTTGTGTAATTCATCATCACGAAATTGCCAGACAATTGATTCAGAAATCTGAAAATGATAAGCCATCATCGATGCTCTCATCATTTACAACTTTTTCGTAAGTCTTTTCCTTTTCGTCGATCTGCTTCATTTCGTACGATGGTGGATTATTGAGGCCAAGATAGAAGTTGCACGATTTTTCGGCAGCCTACATTTTTGCGATAAGGTGAAAAGAGTTAGGTTGGAAATTTATCTAAAGTTTCAATAAAATGACAGTTACATACGATCTTTTGGTTACGCTTCAGCAAGTATTCAGGCGTTTCTGGGAAGAAGTTGAATATGAGCAAGTAAAGTGTTGGCAACATGATATTTGCCTTGATTTGGCCGAAATAATCCAGATAGCTGTCCAAGACAAAACCGACCAGAACACCACCATTGCAGAACAATATCATCATCGAACCAAGTGTGCCACGGACTCTAGGTTTACCAAAGAAATTAATTAATAATTGCAATTACTTGGGTTTGAATGGAAAATACATCTTTTTGCGTTAAATTTTTTTTCTCATTCAAAAAAATACTCACTTATTTTCGGCAATTTCGCTCACATACACAGGGATGACGACGAAGAGACCGCCACCACTAAAACCTACAAGAAATCATGACGCATACAAATGATAAACGTTTGTTGCCAACAGTAATATCACAATATCACCCAGCTCAGCTAAAGTGGAAAAAATTTAAATCTCAATAAAACAAATAACATTCTCAAGTTTTAGTTACACAAGTAATATTACCAGTAGAGGAAGTGCGAGCGAAATCAAATGAACTTTTCGGCTGGATCGATCAATAACAAGCGAGTAGAATAGGGTAGCGATAATACATCCAAAACATGGCATTGCTACTACCAAAGCGGCTTCTGATGTTGATAGAGGGCCCGATTCTATTGGGGTATCATTTGTGGTCAGAACCAAAAAATTTGGCGCGGCCCATGCACAAGCCGATCCATATGATAACGTAAGAATATTGCCTTTGAACGAAAACAAATTACACTTGATGAGTTTTTACTTTGATTAGTTGATTCGTTTTTGAAAAAAAAAATAGAATTTTTCGAAGTTATTAGTTTTGCATTAAAAACAAATACTTTTTAATTAATTTTTTAATGAGTTAAGAAACAATAAATATTTTGAGTAAAATTTTGACACTTGAATAAAACAAAGTAATAAATTGATACAATACATATGATTGTTGCAAGGTATTGCTTCAAAACACTCGGCATTTTAACTCGGTGTGCTGTTGATGCTTTGTCACAATCAATTTTCCTCACACTAAATTTTGAATTGAGAAAATTGTCTACGAATTCATTTAATAAGACTTACTTCAGAGATAAATGCTGTTATTAATTTTATAGTTGTCTGACACGATTTATGATTCAAACACGATTGCCCGAAAATCGTGTGTATTCTGCGATATATCGCTGAGCGTATGGCCAATCGTTGTTTTTTTTCTGCCCATATCTAGGAGCAAAAATGCAATGTTATTGTGTCAACATAGTGGTAATTGTATTTAGAATGTGACACAAAAGATAGATAGAGTAAGATAGAAATCATTTCCTGATGATGCTTCATTTGGATTAGGGTTTTAGTTGATTTGTTGGGTGAGAATGAGTAAAAATATGATGTGTATGTGCCAGAAACTTTATTCTCATTTGCATTGTAATTAGCGAATGTCGCATGCACATCGTGGGATGCGATGATGCGTTGCTAATTTTGTTCTTCACGGCAGTTGATCTCGATCCGTAAAATGTATCGCTATTATTTACCATCGATTGAATATTGTAATTGATGATTTCCACCTGTTTTTCGTTTTTTTTTAAATAAATTTTTAGATGATTTGTCATTCAATTTGTTTACAATTTCGGAATCTGATTTTTTAGACTTTTCAAACCAAAATTTCGATTTTTTCCTCAACATTTTCGATTCTAAAAATAAAATAAGCCCGAAATTAAAATGAAAGATCGTTTAATTTGATCAAGTCTTCTATTCCACAGAGATCACATTGTTTCATTTGTGTTTACATGATGTGATGTGTGTTTACAAACTTGGTTATTTGATTTAAGTCATAGCTAAATTTCAGATCTACATCTATTTGGCCAGGGCTTGTATGATTTCTTCGTACGTCTTTGCTTTCGTTTCCGGTAAAACAGTAAGGTAGAAAATTGCACCAAGCATACAACATGTTGCAAAGAAGAACACGCACGTCGAGGTGCCGAACGTTTCAGTCAAAATTGGATAGAATGAGATGAGAGCAAACGCCAAACCCCACATACATTCCAATGCCAAGAGAATGATTATGTTTTTTATCTGAAAAATTAAAACATAGATTTAAAAAAATGTAAAAATAAACAAAAATTCAAATTTCCCAAAAATATTTATCAGTTCTGTTAATCGAATTCGATGTTTTAGAAAGCATAAAAAATGGTTTTCAAATCAACATTTAATTGAAAAATTGTCCATTCAATATAAATACCTTTTTGGGCAAAATTTCGCTCAAAATCACACAGGTAAGAGGAAGCATGCCAACTGAAGAGAAGAAAATGATCATTGAGAATGCAACGATTGGGATCCATCGGTGTTCCATCAACGACTCCTTGAACATATCATAAAGACCCATGGAAATCAAGGAAAGGCTCGTTGCGAATGCTGATGCGGTCATCAACAATTTACGACCGGCGCGATCGACAAGCACCATTGCAAGGAAATTGGCTGACAACATTACAAGAGCAACGACAATAGATGCGGCCGATCCGGATAATGTCGAACCAGCTTCGGCAAAGATTTTGTTTGTATAATTAATCATCACGAAACTGCCACACAACGTATTCAATGAGCCTATTACCAGGGAGATTATTATTGCTCTCTTTGCCGCTGGTGTACCTGTTGGATAAGATAAAATCATTGTGATATGCGTTTGATTAAGGCATATAAAACACACAATAAATAGGGCGAATACGCACAAAAATCTGAAAATGATAAGCCATCATCGATGCTCTCATCATTTACAACTTTTTCGTAAGTCTTTTCCTTTTCGTCAATCTGCTTCATTTCGTACGAGGGTGGATTATTGAGGCCACGATAGAAGTTGCGCGATTTTTCGGCAGCCTGAAGTTTTGAGATAAAACGGAACGAGTTAGATTGGAATTTTTTCTAAGGATTTTAATTCATCACATGTGTCGATAAAATGACAGTTACGAACGATCTTTTGGTTGCGCTTCAGCAACCATTCAGGCGTTTCTGGGAAGAAGTTGAAGAGCAGCAAGAACAATGTAGGCAACATGATATTTGCCTTGATTTGGCCGAAGTAGTCTAGATAGCTGGCAAGGACAAAACCGGTCAAAACACCAGTATTGCAGAACAATATTATCATCGAACCAAGTGTGCCACGAACTCTGCGTTTACCAAAGAAATGAAATCATATAAAAAATTGCTTGGATTTGAACGGAAAATTCCTTTTTTTTGTATTAAAATATTTCTCTCTTTATCGGGTGTGAATTTTTGCCTTGTGACATTTTTTTTCATTCAAAAAAGTACTCACTCATCTTCGGCAATTTCTGTGATGAAAATTGGTATAACGATAAGCGCGCCACCTCCAGAAAAACCGCCAATGAATCGTGCCGCATACAAATGGTAAACGTTTGTTGCCAACAGCAATATCACCCAGCTTAGCTAAAGTGAGAAATAAAATTCAAATTTCGAAAAATTTGTCCGTTCAACATTGAATTTATTTGAAGGAAAATAGCACAGTGTCCTCAAGTTATAGTTCACACCAAGTAATATTACCAGTAGAGGGATCGCGATCGAAATCAAATGAACTCTTCGACTGAATCGATCAATAACAAGCGAATAGAAGAGAGTAGAGATAATGGCTCCAAAGCATGGTATCGCAACTACCATAGCGGCTTCTGATGTTGAAAGAGGGCCCGATTCTATTGGTGTATCATTTGTGGTCAAAACCAAAAAATTTGGCCCGGCCCATGCACAAGACGATCCATATGCTATCGCAAGAATATTGCCTTTGAACGAAAAAACAATTACACTTGATTAGTTTTCACTTTAAAAAAAGTTTTCACTTTTGCAATTAATTGGCTGTAAATTCGAAATAAATTCGTTTGAGCAAAATTTCAAACTTCGAAAAAAACAGGATTCAAAAATTAAATTTAGTAAAAAAGAATTCCCAATACATGTGATTGTTGCAAGATATTGCTTCAAAACACTCGGCATTTTAACTCGGTGTGTTGTTGATGCTTCGGCGCAACCAATTTTCTTGGCACTAAACGATGCATTGAGAGAATTGGATAAGCATTCATTTAATTAAGACTTACTTCGAAGATGTTCAAGATAAACGCAATTGTTAATTTTATCTCGTCAGTCTTCTGGTACAATTTATGATGTGAAGATGATTGCCCGAAAATCATGTAAGCGTGTCTTGTGAGCAGAGACTATATCGTTGTCATTTTCGGCTTATATCTAGTATCAAAAGTACAATTTAATTGTGTCAAAACAATTGCAATTTTATCACAATGTGATATAGACTAAAATAGAAACTATTTCCTGATGCTATTTCATTTGGATTTGGGTGAAGGCTCTGCTTTTAGAATGAGCTCAATACAAGCCAAAGATAAGGAAAAAAACATTCCAGGAATTATCACCAAACAAACATATAGCCAAAAAAAAATTACTTATATCAAATTAAACGATAGCCAATTACGCAGAATCGTCATAACACCATGAAATTGTAGAGTGTTGGAGTGTCGAGTGTTGACAGACTCCGAGTTTGTCACGAACACTTCACTAAGATCCATTGATTTATGGCACCAATGATATCACGTTTTTTTGATAAAGTTTTCACATTTTTAATGAAAATTAAACTCATGTTATTGTGAAGTTCATTAAATTTTACGCAACTATCATCAACCATAAATCGTACTATTGGCAGAGCATGTGAAGGAGGTACGTACTCATCATATATAGTTATTGGCTGAATGTCGAAAACAACAATCACGACTGAATATCTGATGACGTAAATACAATTCAAAAGAATCACATTTTTATTTGGAGATAATAAAAGATAAATGTGTGACTCCGGAAAATTCCGTCGAGTGTGAATTCGGGAAGAAAGTGAGTGCCTTTGATACAGAGTCTGCCGAGTTCTCCAAATCTGATATAGCTACATACTAATATAACATCCTGTTCATATTCGCTCTCACTGTGTTCACATTGAATCGTCAATTGCAATGATGCTGATTACAGTAACTGCATGCTCAATGTTTATTTCGACTTTTTTCTCTCAAATTTATCAATTCTAAAAGAAAAATATAAAGTTAAAAATATTCAATCCCACAGAAAAACCACAGGTATATTTCAATTCTTGGTATTATTTCATTTATTTTATTACGCAGTAATAAAAAATGATGTGATATTTATTTACAAACTTGGTTATTTGATTTAAATATTAGCTAAATTTCATATCCTAATCTATTTGGCTAAGGCTTCCATGACTTCTTCGTATGTTTTTCCTTTTGTTTCTGGCAATACTGTCATGTAAAACAGTGCACCAAGCATACAACATGTTGCAAAGAAGAACATACACATCGAAGTGCCGAACGTTTCGGTCAAAATTGGATAGAATGAGACGAGACCGAACGCCAAACACCACATACATTCAATTGCCAAGAGTATGATTATGTTTTTGATCTAGAAAATGAAAAATTGAAATAAAAAATTGAAAACTCAAACAATTTGAAATGATAAGCGATTCTCTGATTCTTATTGAGCATGAAAAATTACCTTTCTGGGCAAAAGTTCACTCAAAATCACATAGGTAAGAGGAAGCATGCCAACCGAAGAGAAGAAAATGATCATTGAGAATGCAGCAATCGGGATCCATCGATGTTCCATCAACGACTCCTTGTACATATCGTAAAGACCCATGGAAATCAATCCAAGGCCCGTTGCGAATGCTGATGCCGTCATCAACAATTTGCGACCGGCACGATCGACCAGTATCACAGCAGAAGCATTTGCGGACAACTGTACGATGGCAACGATAACAGATGCTGCCGATCCGGATAATGTCGAACCAGCTTCGGCAAAGATTTTGTTTGTGTAATTTATCATCGCAAAATTGCCACACAGTTGATTCAATGAGCCGATTACCACGCCGATTAGGATTGCTTTCTTTGCCGCTGGAGTGACTGTTTGGATAAGTCAAAACAAATTAGATATTGTAATCAAAGACATATTTAAGATACGCAATAAATAGGACAAATACGCACAGAAATCTGAAAGTGATAAGCCATCATCGATGCTCTCATCATTTACAACTTTTTCGTAAGTCTTTTCCTTTTCGTCGACCTGCTTCATTTCGTACGATGGTGGATTATTGAGGCCACGATAGAAGTTGCGCGATTTTTCAGCAGCCTACATTTTTGCGATAAGGTGAAAGGAGTTGGATTGGAATTTTTTCTGAGGATTTTAATTCATCACATGTGTCGATAAAATGACAGTTACGTACGATCTTTTGGTTGCGCTTCAGCAACCATTCAGGCGTTTCTGGGAAGAAGTTGAAGAACAAAAAGAAAAGTGTTGGCAACAGGATATTTGCCTTGATTTGGCCGAAGTAATCCAGATAGCTAGCAAGGATAAAACCCAACAAAATGCCAGAGTTGCAAATCAATATCATCATCGAACCAAGTGTGCCACGTACTCTGCGAAAGAAATATTAAATAATTATGTCATTGATAAAGATTACCCAAGTCTGAATGGAATATTTCTCTCTGAAATAAAAATGCTTTCTTTTCTAAATGTGAATTCATGACAATTTTTTTTTCATTCAAAAAAGTACTCACTTGGGTTCGGCAATTTCGCTCACATACACTGGAATAACGATAAATAAACCACCACCACTAAAACCTACAAGAAATCGCGCCACATACAAATGATAAACGTTTGTCGCCAGCAGCAATATCACCCAGCTTATCTAAAGTGGGAGAGAAATTTCAATCTTGATACATTGCATTGAATTCATTTCCTTCATTTGTTCAAATGAAGCACATTGTTCTCAAGTCATGTATCCAATCGAGTAATATTACCAGTAAAGGAAGCGCGATCGAAATTAAATGAACTCTTCGACTGAATCGATCTATGGCTAACGAATATAATAGACAAGCGATAATGGCTCCAAAGCATGGTATCGACACCACCAAAGCGGCTTCTGATGTTGAAAGAGGGCCCGATGCTATGGGGGTATCATCTGCAGTTAGAACCAAAAAATTTGGCCCGGCCCATGCACAAGCCGATCCATATGATGCCGCAAGAATATTGCCTTTGAACGAAAAAAAAAATCACTTAAATTAGTTTTCACTTTGCACTTACAAAAAGTTAATTCGATTTAAATTCGAAACAAATTCGATGTTAAAATGAATTCTAAAATTTAATCTTCAAAATAAAACGTAGAGGAAATAAATTTAGATCATCAAAATAGCATTAAATAATTATAAACTTGAAAAAAAATATTCTGAGCAAAATTTTAACACTTCACGAAGAAAAACTAAGCAATAAAATAAATTTAGTAAAAAATAATTCCCAATACATGTGATTGTTGCAAGGTATTGCTTCAAAACACCCGACATTTTAACTAGATGTTCTGCTGATACTTTGGCACAACTAATTTTCTTGGCACTAAACGGTGAATTGAGAAAATTGTCTACAAATTCACTTAATAAGACTGATTTCGATGATGTTCAGGATGAACGCCATTGTTTTGTTATCTGGTCAGTTTGCTGATACGATTTAGGATTTGAAGATGAGTACCCAAAAATTGTGTAAGCGTGTGTTGCGAGCAGAGACTATATCGCTAAGCGTATGGCCAATCGTTGTCATTATCATCCCATATCTAGTATCAAAAGTACAATGTGATTGTATCAACACCATGGCAGTTTTATTGCAATATGATATAGACTGAAATAGAAATCATTTCCTGATGGTGTTTCATTCAGATTTGGGTGAAGGCTCTGCTTTTTGAATGAGCTTAATACAAGCCAAAAAGATAAGGAAAATGCGTAACATTTTAGGAGTTAAAGAAATCAGTTATATCAAAGTAGACGATAGCCAATTAAGTAGAGTCGTCATAAGATCATGAAATTGCAGAAAGACGGAATTTCAAGTAGAGACAAACTCCGAGTTAGTAACGAACATTTCACTAAGATCCATTGATTTATGATACCAATGATAAGGATAACACGTTTTTTGATAACAAGTTTTCGCACTTTGAATTAAAATTAAATTCTCTGGGCGTGTTTTTGTTATTGTTACCGTCTATTCAATTTTACGAAATTAGTATTGATTATAAATCAGAGCCAGACCATTAGCAGAGCATGTAGGAGGTCTGTGCTCTCCGTGCAGGTATTGGATGAATGTCGAAAACAACAAGCACAACTGAATGTCTGATGACGTAAATGCAATTCAAAAAGATCACATTTTTATTTGGAGAAATAAAAGATAAATCTTTTCTCCGGAAAATTCCGTTGAGAGTGGGAACTCGGGACGAAAGTAAGTGAGTCGCTTTTGATTCAGCATCTTTGATATTTTTGCATTAAAATTTGTTTGTTACTGTTTTTAGACGAATCACGTGCTATGAACATTGTTCATTAAACGACGTAACGAGTGGATTAAATCAAAGAATCCAGACAATTGTTACAATTTCAATCATTTTTGTATGATGTAAGCAACAACAGTGGAAATATCCACAAATCGACTCAAGACTTGAATCGACTACTATAGTAGTCTTTCCTAGAGTCTTTCTTAGTTTCTTTTTTCGAAAAAGACAACCGGGAACACACCGTTTCTTCTTCTGAACATTTAATCAATTGAAGGAAATCATGTAAATCTCGCGTGCTTAAAATCATTTATTGAAGGACTTTCCAGATCTTATGATAATTTTTCATTCATATTGATATATCAATAATCCTAATCGTCTGTCCATTTTATTTTGCAGAGCTTTTGCATTGCCAGTCGCAACACAGTGCATGGTCAATAAAGTGCGGAGCGATGAAAGGATTTCAAAATTTGTACTATCACTCGGTGTTACTCTCAACAACAATGGAACTGCTTTCTTTCTAGCCATTTCAACCGTTTTTATTGCTCGAATGGCGTCACATTGAATTTCTTGTCACTTGCAATGATACTGATTACCGTAACTGCATGCTCGATGTCAATGCCATGGGTTCCAAGCGGTGAGTTGCTCATTTTGATGGTTGTTCTCACTGCAGTCGATGTCGATGCAAAATATGTGACGCTCTTGTTTGCCGTTGATTGGATATTGTAATTGTGAATTTCCATTTCTTTCTCCATTTTTGACCTTTTCTAGTTTTTTTTTTTAATTATTTTCCGGATTTCCCACCAAATTTTAAATCTCAAAGTGAAAAATTGGAAAGTCAAAAGAAAACCGTTTACTTGGTTCAATTTCATCAACACAACTTTTCTTTTCTTCCTCACAGAGATCTTCTGAGAACCACGAGTAATGTGATTGCAAACTGTTTTGCAGCCATAATCATTGAAAAAATGTTCAAAAAAGAGTTGGATGCACTCGATGCTGGGACACAGGCTGAGGAAAAGCTGAATCAAGTCGTTTAATGTTAGATGTCGGAACGGGGTTTACATAGAGCTTAAATGAATTTGAATTAACTGCCGTCTGTTCGAAAATGCAAACAGTGCCATCTTGTCGCATTTTAACGAAATTCTCATCTCATCAATACCAATAGTGTTTAGTGATTGTAGCACTTACACACAACAGTGTACGTGGCTCACGTATCACGACCGTGAAATACGTCAGCTGTTGTTGTCACACAAATGTCGCGTGTAAGCGGAGCTGTCAAAACTTTTAGCACTATGTGTAATTTATATGGTCTTTTTTATCAAATGTTTGTATGATTAAATGTAAACAAGTTGTAAATTAAGCTGAGCTGGTTTTATTCTGTGGAAGAGTTGAAAAACGAGTGATTTTAGTGCCTTTTCGTGAGCAACCAATTCAAAATCATTGGTATGTAAATAAATGTGTCTATTTTTGAGAAAAAAAAATATTCTTTTAAACGTGCACGTTATCACACTCCGCGAATTTATCGGCTCCCCATTGAATCTAACCTATACCATCAAATGCCGCAATCTTGAAATGAACATGAATTTTTGATGAAGTTGAATAATAAAAAATGAAAAACATCACCGTTTCTTACGTCAATCTATACAAACCTGAGTCGAGAGCGAGATAATTACTGCAAATTTAATTATGGCCAATTACGGCCATGTTTTGTTTGTACAATACCATTTATCGGTATTTGTTTTATTACATCGGCAAGTTCATTGATCGAGTTGCTTTGAAATCGCATTGAGCAATACGATGATTCATTGTCGAAAAATTATGGCTTTTACTGACGTAATCCAAAGAAACGGTTCACAAGTTCAATAATAAGTGAACTGTAATTCATAGCGGTGTTTGTTGTTGTTGTTGTTCTTTCCATAGCAATTGAAAGTATTCTGGTTGCAATTGCTTCTATCTTGCAATTGCAACGTCCTTGAAACCACTGAGAGATAATGTGAACTCTACCACTTTGAACCATTTTGAAAAAAAAATCTTGGTTTCAATCGTGTGCGCGCGTTGGCTGAAGCATTCTCTGAATTGCAATTCTCTCTTTATCAGTCAATTCGCGTTTCCCTTGGTTGGCTTTATCGTTTTTAACTGCACTCATTTACTTTGTACTGTGCACAGTCATACAAAAAAAAGAACCCTGAATTAACTGTAACAGGCGAGTTCCCTTCACACACACAGCACAGAGATAAGAATCGCATAAGCAATTTGTACGCTCATCCCATCAAAGCAAGCGGTTGAACTACACTCTCGTGTGAAGCAATCCATATTTATATATATCTTTTTGAGCATCCTTTTCATTCTCATTATTCCGTTATCAAACAAAACGAAGAAGAATTTTTGTTCACGTTCACATCCCACACACACACACACACACACCCGTATATATGCATTAGCTTTTGGGCACCGATATCTTTCGACCCTTCTTCCAACCTCTTTCTGTCCCTCTCCCTCGCTCTCGCTCCATTTTGTATCCTTGAAATCGTGTTAACTATGCAGCTAAATGGAAGAAAAAAAATAACCAGCTCATAAATACTGAACATCTCGTCATACACAAAGTACGTATAATATATTTTTAGTCATTCGAGACGATCTTTATATTTATTTATTTTTTTCGTGTATGCGTACGTACATCCGCTCATTATTTTTTGTGAGCTGGATTTTATTTTACTTTACTTTTTTTTTCCTCTCATTCCGTCCAAGTGGTGATATTTTGTTGTCGACAACGGATAACATTTCACACATGCACTTTGTGCACAAAGGAATGAAAAGACCAGAGACAAAAAAACATAACCGACAAAAATGAAAAGCAAATACTTGTGCGTGTTCTCATCGCTTTCTCATAAATACCCAACAAACGATGAAAAAGGCGACAGCGATGAGTATAAAATTTTCGCTTGGCTTCACCTGTTCCCAAAAATAAAAAGCAAGCAGTTTTTCGTCATGTATGCGTCGCCGAGCAATAAACAAAATCACAGAGAGACATACGGAGATTGTCAGAGAGAGAGAGAGAGAGAGAGGAAGAGACTCCTTTTTTTTCGTTATGATTCGCATTCATGCTTCTTAATCTGATGAACACGTAAAGTATAATCTTTGTTGTTAACGGAAATTCATTTCGATCATTTTTCTTCGTTGTGCTGTCGTTGTCGTCGGCGTTGTGTATCTGGGTGTTTGTTGGATGTTTTCTCTCTTATTGTTGAAGACAGGATACGGAAAAAACGCTTTATTACGAAGAAGAAGAAGAAGAAGAACGCTTTATTAGGCCCAGTTCTGGTGGATAGCATTGAAACGTCCTTTATGATCACTATAACGATGGAGTATTATTCACCTACGCACCAACACACGCAAAATAACTCGAGATGGTAACACATTGATTGCGTTCCAAGGCAAAATACCACCGAGAAAATGATGAAAAATGTTCCAATGTTTCGAATGATGGACATTTTTCCATTTCGAAAAAAGAAATGCAAATCAACTACCTATCATATCAAATCATTTGATTCCAAGTAAAAAAAGAGAGAGAGAAAAAGCCAAGTATATTGAACTTTATCATTTTCGATTGCAATGTGCATACAAAAACTGCCAGCCCATGCAATCAAGTAAAAAAAGAATAAAGTGAACTCCAATTATTCGTTGCCAGCCGCACACACACACACACACATACACACACAAAATGAAGATATTCATCGTGAACAATAAAAAAAACGGTTTAGTTATTCAATGCTCCGCTTGTTTGCAGCGAATCAAACATAATGTGTCTGAATTGAAACACTCGCTTGTTCTCCACATATAAATTATCTTATCGGAAAAGTGATTTCAATGATGGGTTCGAAATCGACTGTTTACAATCGATTTTGTTGACTTGGCTGCGGTGTGTACGGTTTTTTTCCTGCTCGAAACGAAAGTTTATCAGTTCCACCGATCGAAATTGAAAAAAAACATACACACCGAATAAAAGTTGTTGTTGATATAAAATTACCATAAGTGAGTCGGAACAAACCATCTAGCTAATCGAATGAGTTTTGTTTGCACGATGTGTTGCTTTTTTTCATCATTGTCATCGACGTTGTTGTTGGCGTCGAAATCCATTTCGAATTGGATCAAGCGATTCTTTCTTCAATTTTGTTGCTTCGAAAATGTATTGACGACGATAAAATGTCTAAGTTTGTCGACGCATAACAGCGCTCGACCAAAACATCATATTGTGTGTGTGTGTGCTGTTGTTGATTATTATGTGTGTCGAGCAATATCAATCATAATCGTTTTGAACAAAACGAGCAGCATACGTGTTTTGTGTCGTAAAGTGCAAACGTTATTGCCATTGACTTGAAGGCGAACGAACAGAAAAATAAAACAACAACACCACCACCAACGACTGATAAAGTAGACAAAGATGAGGTTTGAATGGCGACTAATAAGCGAATTACACATCAAAGCAGTCAAGAGAGAGATAGAGATAGAGAGAGAGAGAGAGAGAGAGAGAAAAAAGAAGAAGAAGAAGAAGAAGGGAAGAAAACCCGTTGATTACAAGCCGATCTTATCATAGAGTTTATTGCAAAATCAACGCTCAAATCACTGAAATCAATTTAATTAGAGAAGTGTGCATTTTACAGTTTTAACATGTGCATTGCCCCCCGTGTTTATATGATTTCGGTAATAGCACACACACACATACACATGTGGAATACATTTCATTTTATGGGCACATATCCGAACAAGCAGAAGAAAATAAAACACTAGCCGCTACGATTGGGTTCAAAACTCAAAGTCTCAGCAACAAAGCCACGTTGCAATAAAGTTAGTGTTTAAAAATCACATAAAAATAAAAGCCAGAAACTATGTACATTTATACATATTGATATGGTCTAATGTTGAAGAAAGCAATGGTGAGCACTTTTGTTGGATTTTATTGCTGTGTTTGGCAGAAATTAGCAATAATAAAGACAGTCATTTACCTGAATGGCCATAGCAAAGAGGAGAAAAAACGTATTATCCTCGGCAACAAAACAAACTCTTCGTATGCAAAACAATGGTAAGCCAAGCCAAACCAAATCAAAACATATGTGCATATATGTCTCGAACGTTAATGACGTAGACACGGCATTTTCATTTATAATATGACAACGACGACGATTTTTCTCTCGCTTCCTCACTCACTCTATCTCTGACTGATTTGCATTTCTCTCCTATATATCCAAATGGATTTTACAGTATAGCAAATGGCAAGTATCAGACGATAGGAAGTTTTGTGCAAGCGGCATAATGCGAATACTTTTCTTTTTTTCTCTCCCTGCTATTTGTTATATATAGTAACATTTATTTGCGCTTGTTTACTACGCCAGAGTGGTGAATCTCGAACATCGGTTTGTTGTTAATGGGCTTGATGCCAAACGTTTAAAATCGGGTATACAAAAACAGACAATATCTCCCATGTATACACCGAATGCAATACAATTGCATCGGATGAGCCGAAACGAACGAACGAAGGAACGCGACGCAAATGTTTTGGTTATTCGACGAAAAAGTGGTCGAAAATTATACACGTATGTCTGGAGTGTGACCGTGTGTGAGTGTGTGTGAGCGAGTGTTTTGATTTACAGCTGCTATAAGACTCATCGAATGCTGACTCACCGTAATGGCCCTCACACAACCGTTTGCAATTGTATTCGTAAGCGAATGCACGAATTCGATGTCAGCATAATTCGTTGTGTGCTGCTGCTGCTGTTGTTGTTGTTGTTATTTTTTTCTGTCTTTCTCTTTTCGGTTCCTCTTCTTCTACTACCTCTTCTTCTTCGCTTACGTTTCTTCGTTCGACGCTCGCCAGCTCAAATCATTGTCATCGTAATCACAGTCACCGTTTGTCCACAGCAAGCGCTCGAATTACACACGTCAATGTATGCGGTTGTTTGATGTATGCTCACGGGTTGCCTTGCTCAGACATTACTAACTGAGAGCGAGAGCGAGATCCATTTGGTCTACAGGGTGATTTCAAGGCATGAATCGTTTTTCTCATTGAAATTCAGAAGGAAAATTTCCTTGAAAATTCCTATGTAAAATGGTGAAAGTGGAAAATATTTTTGATTTTATTCAAATTATTTCAAAACTATTCGCCTATTTCCCCGAAATCTGAATGTGAACATTAAATATTCCGTAATTTCATCACATTTGGCAACACCCTATGGCTTGTAAAATGAGTCGTTGCGATGCATACACAGACGCAGAGCCACTCTCAAAATCCCGAACGTATGGAGTACGTGTACCAGTGCTCCTCGATGTTTTATACGCACAAAGAGAGCTCTACATGCACAAATACATCCAACCGAATCTACACAGGTGACGTAGTAAATCGTTCGATATCGAAATGGTAGCTCGCTTGCTTGCTCTCACTATACATCTGCCCGTATGTGTATGCCTATGTGTGTATTCGTGTGTGTTTGTGTGCGTGCTGGTATTGGTGCATGCGTGCGTTTGTATTGTATAGAAGCCGAATCGATGTGCGACCGCAACGCCAATTCTTTCAAACGACTGAACACTTCACAGCGACAACGAATCGTCCACCGTTTTCATTTTGTGATGATGAGTCGACTGGATAGTAGCTAGCTGAAAATAGCCTCTCTTCACGCAACGCAAGAAAAACACATATATTATTTTCTCTCATCTATATAACAAACAAACACAAAAAAATACACTCAACGTTCGTTTTATTTCGTTTTCAACGCCAAACCATACTCTGTTTCTCTACTCCATACCCGAACCGAAAGTCGTATAATATACACTTCATACGCCCTGAGTAGTAAGCAGCAACAGCAGCAGCAGAAGCAGCAAAAATCGAGCGGCCATATTGGTTTTCATTTTACATAAAGAGAATTTCATTCGTTTAAAACACACTCACTCAATAAATTTCAATCCGACAAAAAAAGTGAAATAAATCCCATCAGTTTAAGAAATAAAAAAAACAGTTAGTTAAAATCGATCGAAAAATTCGCGATCCGAGGCATAATTTGTTTGAATTTGTGATTTTAGTGAAACAAAAGAAATTTTTACGTAAAAATCCAACCAACAAATTTCCAGATAGATTACCATAGAAAAATCAATTTTTTCCCGTTCATTACATCTGTTCAATTCCGCAGTAGCTGCAAACAAATTTTTGGTTTAGCTTCGTCGCTTCAGCAACAAAAGTGTAATATTGCGAAATAAAATTTCATTTGAAAAAGTGTTTTTTTTTTGGTTGCATGTGAACCATTTTGAAATTGGTTAAATTGAGTTCTGTTCAGAACAAAGGAAACAGGAAAAACGGCATGAAATACAAGTAAAACACTGTGCGCGTGTACGAGTGAAATAACAACCGAGAAAAAAAGAAAGAAGACGAGAAAAAAAATCGAAAAACATCCAGGAACAAACAATTTACAGCAAAGCCAAGCAAAATAAAAACACATCGTCGTAATCATCAACTATTGATTTTAATTTTGTTCGGGCTGAGATATTCGTTTGCGACAGCACAGCGAACTAAATGAAAAACCTGAAAATCGATAAATAGTTAAATATCCTATTGATTTTTTTTCTGCTTTCCTCTACTATTTCGTATACGTTCACCAATCGAGTTGCGTTACGTTTCAGCTGAGAAGAAATTGAATGAATAAAACAAAAAATTGTCAACAGTTCATTTTTCACTTTGCCGTACTCTTTTACACTCAGAAAAACAAAATATCAAAGTGATCCAAGTGTGGAAAAATATAGTACAAATTTATTTTAAAACAGCAACAACATAAACAAAAAGTTTACCCACAATTCCCAAGCGAAACGTGAAGACATTGTATTTCTGTGATGATATTTTAACCAATTCAACAAACAACACAACAAAAATTAAAACGAGAGAGAAAAAAAAATAGTAAAACCACGGAAACCCAACAAGATTTTTCAATTAAGAGAACAGAAAAAAAAATTCCAACAAACGAGTATTAAAACAAAGAGCGAAGAAAGAACCACACATAGAACGCAGCCTTTAATCATCCGTACATTCGTGGAATTTATAATTTCAACTAAATACGAAATATCTAATCATACCGTGTGTTAACGAACGAACGAACAACAGAAAAAAAGTAACCTGACAAAGCAAGCAGCACCTCAGTGACAGAGAGAAAGACATAGCAAGCGAAACAGAGAGACATAGCGAAAAGCGATAAAATTCGAAAAAAGCAAGCAATAGCACCAGAAAAGAAAAAAGAAGAAAAAACGGCAACAAATCTTGAGGCAAATAGACAAAAAGCGACTATTTGTTCGAGACCTGGACACCATTGTCTTGTTTATGACATTCAACAGAACGTGCAGCGTGCAAAGAACTTTACAACGTGAATCATGAAATTAGAAGTGAATTCGGCAGCCGATTTCCTGATGAATCTATTGCGGCTGAAAAAAGGTGAACCATTGCCCGACAAAGATCAACTGCAAAATTTCAAAGGGTCATTGGAAAGTTTGCTTGTGCTACACTATCGCAGCCATTGGTATCCAGATGTACCGACAAAAGGTTCGGGCTATCGATGCATTCGAATCAATGGTAAAATCGATCCGTTGATCGCACAAGCCGGAATGGCGGTCGGAATTTCGCCGAATGTTTTGCGTAAAATGTTGCCAGCCGAATTAACGCTTTGGATTGATCCAGAGGAGGTGGCCTATCGCATCGGTGAAAATGGTTCGATTTGTGTATTGTACGATTCACAAAGCCGTGCCAGCCCATCGTCCGATCTCGATTCGACCGGTTCGAGTGCCGATGAATTCATTATGGATCGTGTCGGTCGCCCCGATATTAGCCATTACGATGAGCGCCATTCCACCTCGCTATCACCATCGAATTCGCCAACGAAACCCGTACCAATGCAAGAAATGGTACCAGATCCACGTCGCATGAACTATGTTCCTCAAAACCAATTACCACCCCAAAACTACCAAATGCACCCGCCACAACCGCATCCACAAGCTTTTCAATATCATCGACAGGCGATGAATGCCAATCATAACCATCATCCATCGACACAGCATCAACAATACATGCAACAAGTACAATGGGATGGATTCGGCAACAATAACAAGGTAAGTTTCATCAATGTGATGAACTCACACAACAAATTCTCTTCTTCTCTTTATTTTTTTATTTCATTTTGGTCAAACCACCTTTTTTTTCAAACGAAAGTGGCAAATGCTTTTGGTGTTTTTTTTATCTTATTTGTTTTCAATCATTCGTACATCGATGACGATGACGAGACAACTTGTTTCAGTTGTTCAAGAGTGTTGAAGAGAATGAAAATGGCGTCGAAGCGAGATGAAGCCATTTTTGGTAACCAAACAAACAAAAAACAAATATCGTCTGGATCAAATGGTTGTTTCTTTCTACTGTCTTCTGTGTGTATGCGTGCGTGTGCGTTTTTGTTTCTTCTCTCGTTTCGAAATCGAACAACATTTCGTTTGCCCAGTTCTTTTCATTTATGCTAGAGCGACGCGAGAATGAATATAAAATAAAAATAGACATATTTAATGAAGCCCAGAGAGAAGCGGCTAGCGAAGAGAAAACACGAGTTACCGAACAAAGTTATAAGCGCATTTTGATTAATGGCAAGCGTTGGAATGATCTGAGAAGCTGAGAGACTCGAGCGAAAAACTTTATTAATTTTAATTATCCCATGGTGGAAGAGCCAGATGTTTAAATAAATTTCCCATATTTCAATTGACGAGAGCACAGCGCGTAGCATATACATAAAGCGGCTCAATTTGCCCTGTATGTACCCTTCGGCGGCGTTACATTCGGCATTTGGTGCGAACGATGAGATGGTCTTTGCCGTTTTATCGAACCAGACACGTACACATCAATCAACAACACATACTCGCAATTGATCAGCAAATGGCCGTCATTGCATTGTGTTCAATATTGTGTTTTGGCATCACCGAAAATCCGTTGAAAATTGCACCCATGCAAGCAAATGCCCTACGCTTCATATCACTCTAGCCTAGCTGCACGTATTTATTCTTCGGCTGTTTCATGGGTACATGAACACATTTGACGCGACACATAAAAAGTCGTTAATAAACTGTTCAAACACTCATTCACTCAGCACTACCAGCAGAAAGCCAGCGCGATACGATTACTCACATTTCACACACATGTTTGTTTGTTGTTGCTGGTTTTTTCTTTGTGTTCATGGCAAAATCGCATTTTCACAAACGTCGCTTCTTTTTCTCTCTTCGAAAAATCGAAATAAAAATTCATAAACTCATTTGTAATAGTAAACGCATTGGTTGGCATTCGTCGAATCGAAACGAAACGATGAAATGGAATGAGAGAGAGAGAGAGAGAATCATAATTTCATAAAAAACACACCACGAAGAAATTAAGAAATTAAATGATTGCCATTATCGAAAAATTATTTATATATTTGCTTTTTAAAGTGCGAAAAAAGCATAAAAACTCTTGATAGGCGAGTGAATGTGTGTGTATTGGTTATTGCGCGTAAGGATGCGCTAATCGCTATTCGTGCCAGTTTTTTTTTCTGCGTAGTTTGCTTCGTTATCGAAGTGGCTTATCAACCGCAATATTATTTCAGGCATTAAAACGTTCCGAAAGCATAAAACTATTCGCACTTAATGAGAACAAAAAAAAATGCTTTGTGATATTTTATGAGTTGGCGGCGTTGGCTCATGCATCGGAAAACTTTATTTCGACATACAATTCACTTTACGAAAACTTCGAATAACAACACACACAGTATGTCCATTTTTAGCCATGGGCTGCATCGCATTGCATATTAAAGATTGGCTGGCCCGGCCCGTACAGTAGCTTCGCTCAGTTAATTCGATAAATTTCCTCTTCTTTCAGAGCATTTCTCGCTTTTACTCTCTCTCTCTCTCTCTCTCTCTCTCTCTCTCTCTCGCCTCGTTCGCTCAAACACAATATTAATTAATGAAATTCGGAAACGACCGACAACTTATAGGGAAGAACGGAAAGAAAAAATGAGACAACTGCGCGTTCGCGCGTTTCAACACCAACAAAAGCAAAGATTGGGCTGTGAAACAGACAACGGAAAGGATATAATGAATATAACATAAATTAAACAAATAACATGAGCAAGAAGTTCAAGAAGCACTCGCTTGAAGTTTGTGTTTTCGTTCCGTTTCGTTTTTGATCCCTTGGTGGGAACGGTGGGCAACGTTGCCACTTCAACTGCCAGCTACTGCATTCAGAATCGAAAATACTTTGGTCATTTAAAATGTAAAACGCCTAAAATCGACCGAGTGGAACTTTCGAACGTTTTCTCTCTGTGTATTTATATTCATTCTGGGAGTTCTTAGAGTCTGTTGAGCGTAAATTTTTTCCCTTTTTTGTGAGTGCATGGTCGTGGTTGTGATCTTTATACTACTTTTTTTCAACAATTTCTCTCCCTCTTCTCACACACCCGCCACATATTCACATTCAATTTATGCGTTTTTAGTGCATGCACATTTCTCTCTCTCTCTCACTCGCTCTCTCCATAAAAAGCTGATTTTCTTTCATTAAATTGTCTGCGTATCGTTTGGATCTGTGCAGAGTTCAATTATAGTATTCGAGTGCCGTAGCCATACGCTGTAAATTTTGATGGGCTTAAGTTTTCTCTCCTACAAAACGAATATTCTCACTTATTTTTCGTTTCGTTTCGGAATGCTATCGAATTATTCATCTTTTGTTTCGAGTTCGTCGAGCACACACATACTCGGACCCACCTTTATTTTTAAGTTTGTTTGCTTTCTTCGATCATTTCAATTCTTGAGAGAGAAAAAAAAAACTCAATTCGAAACAGAGTTCACATCACGCGAACCAAAAACAAAACTAAATTCGACGACAAAGCAACCAACGTAGACACAGCAATCGAAAATTTTTATTTTTCCAAACATTGCTTGATCTGAAATATCTGAAACATCATCAGCATATTTTTGTTTCGCCATTCCAGCGAACATTTAATTGAGTTACGCTTTTCTTTCTTTCAGACTCTCTGCCTCTCGTTTTTTTTTTAAACGCTTCAAAACGCGCTCGCTCGAATTGGTAAACAAAATTTGTTTTGCGTTTCGCTGAAGTGCTATTTTAAAAACAAAGTCTCTCGCGAATGTTTTCAAAGAGACAAAATCACACAGGAATTTGTTTTTATATATGCGTAATATGGCCGATTGCGTGAGTGTCATCACGCAGATACACATATCAATATGCTGATTTGATTTTTTTTTGGCGAACTGTTTACATTTCTTCGTCCATTTATCATGGGTGAGAGAGAGAAGAAAAACGCTATATTTTTTTACACTTACACAATTCGCACGCCGAATATTTTTGTTTTGGTGATTTATACACAAAATGAAAAAAAGAAGATAATATTTGTTGAAATTCGTTTGTATATCTTTGGATACGGAGCGATATCAATGGAAGAGAAAGAGGCGTACAAGAAAAAAACAAGCAACAAACAGATTGCACGATTTTCAAATTATCTGAAATGTGAACAAATAGACGTGTTATTAAATGGGCTTAATTGTTTTCGCAAAAAACCATTCGCCTCTCGCCATTTAAACAAAATGATAATATAGAGACGTGGAGCTTAGCGTTTGTAACCCTATCTAAAGTGTAATTTTATACAAGCACTTCGAGTTTCTGTAGTGCTTTGTGAAATTGAGCCATTGTTGAACGACAACTGTGTGTGTGTGCGAGTTCTTGTTTTTTCTTCTCTCCAGTTTGTTATATATTGTGGTTTTGGCTGTACCACATACTTGTAATTATGAATTCAATGGCGCTGTCTGACACTTCGTCACAGACAATAATCCCTCAACGTTTTGAATGTAATACAATGTGAATATGAAAAGACAAAACTACTCGACATTCTATCTCTTCGTGTGTTTTTTCTTTCTTCTTCGCTCGTTGTCATTGTTTGTTTGCGCGTCTATGTTTTCAGTACAGCGCGACCACCTAAAAAAGGCGGCTTTTCAAATGATCTTAAATCCGAACTCGTTGGATTTAACTGATAATGAAGTTAGTGTTTTTTTTCATAACTTTTGAACTTTCAACATTCGCTTCCTACGACGCAAAAAACAAAGACCCGAAAATAACTTTTGAGAAATCATGATAGTTCGATCGAACCGCCTGAAATAGTGATGACCATGAAATTTAAACCGACAACCTTTTGCCATCACATCGCGAGAACTGTCGACCTTTTTCTCTGCGCCAGGAGAAAATTGAGAACATTTTTGTTGTGAGAGCAACCGAACAAACAATTCACAATTGAACAATGAACCCATATGTTCTATGGCATCACCGTGGCTCGTCTTACGCAAAACCATATTATTTTTATGCAAAGAATTTTCAAACGCGTCATCAAATTCAGTTCGTTACGTGCGTGCTTTTTTCTCGCATAGTGTTCAGGAGAAAAATGACATCGAGAACAAAAACAAAAATAGCAGCAGCAGCGGCAGCAACTACTCGGGCGACTTTGGTGAAGTTGCAAAGACGCAAGAAACTTTTGTTTGCAAAGAAAAATGAAACAAACCCGAGGAACGGTGAAGGAACAACAAATGATTATTATTATTACGGCAAACAAAGCGATGCGCAGCAAAAACCGTCCGACGATAGAGAATGAGAGAAAACTAGAATGAATAAAGCCATATTGTTCTATATGCATGCTTTTTTTCCCGAGCCACAGCCAGAGAGAGACATATACACTAGCTAGTAAGAGAATATATGTCGCCATTATGCATTTGTAATTCATATTATGAATTGCAGACACAATGCAAGCGCTGCTATAAAATTTCGATAATAAACTCGTTAAGGTCTTCAAGCAAATCCAAACAAAAAACACCTCTTTCGTCACATAGTTCATATGTTTTTTCTTTGTTTGCTTTCGGTCTCTTTTTCTCTTGTTCTCTGTGTGTGACTGACTCAGTCGCTCGTTCTTTTCTATACTCTTTTTCGCCGAAATCGTTTCACATTTCACATTGTACATGCTATTTGACTTACAGCTGCCAACAAAAGCTGATGATATATTAATTATATTGTATGTATTTGAACGATGGAATTTTTTTGAACGCAG